CCGAACCGAGCGCAGTTTCCTTTGAGTTTGCACACAGGAGGAGGAGGAGAAGGGGGGAGGGGGTTTAGTCGTCAAACCTGTACGATAAAATTAACTTGTAAAACCGCCCGGTTAAAGGCTGCTGGCTTCGTGGAAAACGCGAGGCCGACTCTCGAGAATTCACCCATTTCGTAAATTAATAACGACGGCCGCCGGTCGAAAAGAGGGATGATGGAAATTTATATTTCCCCTCTCTTTATTTTCCCACCCCATCGCATTGTTTCACTCGTTTCTCCTTCTACCTTTTTCGAGTTGCCAATCGTCCTTTTGTAATATATTCGAATAAGTTGAGATTATATATTTAATATAATTAAAATTAATAATTGAAGTATATTAAATATCGTTGCCTTTATGAATAATTTTTCTCATCAAGGTTTTTTTGATTTTTAAAGGGTTTTCGAATTTGCATTCAAAATTGTTAAGATAAATCTTATCTTAGCTTTAACGAATGATCCTCTTAACAAGATTCTTTTCTATAAATTTGTAATATCATCTTATTTAAAATGATAAATTAATTTAATAATACGAGACAATTATATAATTGTATCGCATAATTAATAGCGACCTCTTTTTCATGATATGCTTGAAATTTAAAAATGGAGAAATAGATATGATGTTGAAAATGGATAAAACAAATTCTACATAAATATTTCCAATCTAATTAATTACTTTATCCCATTATCTTATCCCATATCTCCCTAATTGAATTTTAATATGAATTATGGAATAGAAATATCTTGACACATAACAAAAACAATTTTATGAGTAGACTCCTCTAGACAGAGAGGAGCTAGCGTGCTCTTCGTCCCTGATCAAGCAAGCTTGAATAACAAGTTAGAATTTCAAAGGTATCTTGCGTGTAACAGTGTATTCCTCTTCGTTTCTCTCGTTTTCCTCTTGGAAAGAAAAAAGATTTAAAAAAAAAAAAAAAAAAAAAAGAAAGATCGAGCACACCTTGTTCCATGATACGGCGAACAAAACGAGTTAATTAACCGGTGGGATAAGAGGTACACGAAGAATATCGTTTAATATCTTTTCGTTATTTGGGATAATTTCGAATTAAACTTTTCTTTTTTCAATCGATAAAGACGGGGCAATTTCAGATAAGACGCTTATTGAATGATATTTATTATATTGCTCAACACTTAGCATATCGAGATAACGCTTTTTCATTTCATTCCGATATGTACGTGTATTCCTTGATTTTAATTGAATTTAATTTAATTAATTGAATGATTGTCAGTGGAAATATATTCTTTTAAAAAAAATGTATAATTTTCTCAACCACGAAGTTTGATGCATCGATTTAAGCAAGTATGCAAAAAATAAATATCAATAATAAAATTTTGTCTTCGTATTTTTTTTAATAAACTTTTCTGTTTCAATTGAATTATTTAGATTTAATTATTTGCTCGCTATAAATAAAAAAAAATTTAATGTTAATCCTTATACCCTTCTTCCACATTGAGAGATGCTTAGAAATAAATATTTTTACCAACTAAATTAAATTAAACAAGAGAAGAGAGCAATCCAATAATCCTACAAACAATGCTATATATAAATCGAACAAGATTGAAACAATCTTCGTATTCCTCGAACAAGTTCTCGGTTTAAAAACGATGGTTTAAACTCCCCTTAATTTCGCATGATTCACACGATATTTCAAAAAAAAAATCTCCACTATCAATTTCACGCGAAACGATACTCTTTGATTCCCATCGACACTCCGAAAAAAAACACAAAACCCGTAACTTCGACATAATCACACCTTCCACGTCAAAACCTTCAATCATCAAAGCTCCTTTGCCATCACCTGGCAAAGGGGTTCAAAAGCGCTCTTCCTCCCCCCAAGCCTTCCTCCTCAAAGAAAGAAAAGGCGCGTGGATATAACCTACACTCTACGCCAGAGACAAATATGATCGGCGGCGGCGCTGCTGGCGATGGCGTTCATTATGGCCGCTTAATGGCCGCGATTTACCATTGAAAAAAGCTGGCGACACCGTCTGAATGAGCCATTACGTAGCCCGGTCTACAGAAATAATTATCGTAGCATTGACACAAAAGGGCGTTGGCTGGCTGCCTGCCTTCATTGCCGGCTGTATACACATTACCCAGAACCTCACGTATGCGTGTGCCTATACAGGGTGTCCCGCTCGAAATCATCAACCTTGATTCTTTCTCTCGTTATTCGAAAGAAAGTTTGATTCAAGTTTTCCATATATCCTCTATATACTTTTATTTTATTTGTGAACATTAATTTTATATATCTTCGTGGATCGAGCCATACATTTTTTTTAAAATTAACGAGGAAAATATAGTTCTCTTCTGGCAATATATATATAATTCTCATATATAATAATAATAATAATAGTATATATAATAATATATATAATAATAATAATTCTCATACATAATAATAATAAATTAAAAAAAGACAACAAGTATATATTCAAATATTCTTAAAAACATTTTTCTTAGAATTAACAACTCCCTCCCCTCCCGTTAAATATATCTCAGTTGAAACGGAACCACCCTGTGCATAATCCTCCCTCCTGTCCATTCCTCCTTTCCTCTTCCCCATCCATCTATTTNATGCCGGCCTCGGGCCCACGCGTGCCCCTCTCCTTGTCCCCTCCTCCTCGCCTCCTTTCTATACACCGTTCTATACCGATTCCGATTCCTTCGTCTCGATACCATCGAATCGAGAACCATCGAGGTCGTATACTCCCCTTTCTGCGTTCATATTTCGAGGAAGGGAGGGGAAAGGAGGGGGGAGT